AATGTTTACTTTTCTCTCAATATTTATACACGTCGTGGGTAAGAAATATGATAAGAATAAATAATGTATGAACGTTGGTACAATTGTTGTCGGCGTCCTATTCCGCTACCACTTTGCCAATGTTGCAATGAAGATATGATGAAGATAATTGTAGTTTATTCGTTCGTCTCGAAGAATATTTTTCTAGCCATTGGCTAAGCACGAGCGGCGATCACAACATGAGCAAGAGACATAGCAATTGAAATCGTCAACGGATTAAATCAATTTTACGAGTACTTTTCCTCTACAGTTTGGGCGGTGCTTTTTGGTTCTCGGTTGCATCGTGATGAACTACCATACAGAAGTTAGCGGCGTGAAACGATTAGAAACGCGGCGATAGATAATATAAGCTCTTGCCGCTGACGATAATGAAAATAATAATAGTAACAACATAATTAGCAGGCGAAAACAATCAGATGCGACGAGGTGTGACTGATCTCAGCTAACAAAAAAAAAAAAACATTCAAAATCAAAAACTAATAGACCCCGGACAAAATTTGAAAAATGACTTCTAGGCAGCTTTCTTCTAGGGAGGCTTCTTTCATGTGCGGGGGCTAATATTAGCAGTGAAATAGTCTCTCATTTAGCGTAAATTCTGTAGCTGAAAGAAGATCGACGCCAGTGCTCACTGAAACCTTCTGCATACTATACCTCTACATGTAAATCGTTCGCCTACTATCAACAGTGCATATAATTATCCTAATTTTTCGCGATCGAGGGTTATTGACAGCAAATCTCCTTACCTTGCGTTGTATGGAAACATATTTATGAATGGCCTGCAATTGAAAGTATTTTTATCGTTCGTGGATTTTCGTGCGCCGCCTGTAATGATTTTGCACCGTCGTTAACAATTATGACCAGTAAAAGCTGTACGAACTATTAATAGGACATAGCTTGTGGATTTATCCTACATCCTAGTATTACTGGGAATACATCCCAGGCTGTGCAAGTCTACGAAGAACGTCGCTCGACGCGCCACAACACGAGCTTCACTTTATTTAAACGAATAAGCCATCTTTTATTCGAAATGGCCTTTTCTCATCGATGCATTCGTTTTCTATTCTTACCGTCGTTACATTTCACAGTTACTCTTAATAATAACTTACAGAAGTTATTGTGCATAACGTCGAATTTGGTGAAAACATGTGGAGTTAGTTAGTACAAAGTGGTTACTTGCTTAGTTTGAATTAGACACACTAAAAAAATGGTCCCCGTTCTTTGAGACATTTTTCCCGTTTTCTTCTTGATCTCCACTGTTTTCAAAATCCTTTTCTCGCTCGGCGTTTTCCCCCTGTTCGAGTGATAGATGGTGGTTGTGTCATCTGATCAAGACGCGTACCGATTGTCGTTAAGTTAGCTGCCCATAAATTGGCCACGGTGCATGCCAGCTACTGGGTCAGCCAATTAAAAGCGAAATCCAGCAAATTTTTTTTACGTAACATCAAGTAGGGTGCCATTGCCTATGCTTGCTCTGTGTGCAGCAAATAGCGGTTTTGATACCGGTTGAACGGTCGCAGGACGTCGTGGCGGTGCCGTCGTTCATGGCGGTGTTGTCAACAGCAGCGGAACCAAAATTAGTTGCCAGTAGTCATACGCGTAAAACAATATCGTAGAGTGTATCAAACAGGGTTTGTCCGTCAGTGAGACGAGTGTACGTTCCAAAAGGGGCAAGCACATAATGGCGACGTGAAGGCGGCAGGCCGATCGGTCGCTCGCTAGCGACCATTCGCCGCCGCCGCTGCTGTGAATGAATGGAATTTCAGCGAATTCTATTCGGCGTTCGGTCTTATTGTTGACGTCTCGCGTCTCAACGTATTGTGCAAACGATCGATGCTGTCTAGCTGAGTTAGCGTACTCATCCATCGCTGTTTTTGCTAATGCAGCTTGTGATAGCAAATTAAAATATGGATGACAATGCTGATTATAATGAAAACGATCGCGCCGTTGCTGCTGCTGGGGATGGTTATTAGTCTGGAGACGATACTGAGGCTTGTTCATTCCTCCATAGACTTATTGGCCCGAAGTTGTTGTTGTTGTTATCGACGTCGTTATTGTTGTCGCCGCCAACGCTTTGACTGTATATCATGGTTATATTAGATCTAACTATCTAGCCAAATGGGCCGGAACGAGGTTGCAAAGAGATCGGCTTTCTTGCCACAATAGCTCCCCAGCCCATTTAGTCGCCGCCGCTGGGAGGGGGTGTCGATAATTTACTGGCCGTTCGGTAAGCGTCCTTCTTTCGCGGACGATCCATATTGAATGGGCCCCCAAACACCGACGTCCGGAATTCCTCTTCGAGGCGACAGCGATGACAATGATCGAACGAATGAAAGCGACACGACGTTAACAACAACAACAACAGCGGCAGCAGTAGCCGCTCTGGCAACTTTATTATGTGAAGGCGTGGTAGTTAACGTAGCTATGGGTTATACTGCCCACCGTTGTGTTCGCGTACATAACGTGTATGTATAAAAATAGAAGGGCAAAGCGAAAAAGAAGTCATTGATATGACAGAGAAGAAGTCTATGCGACTATTGCTGCTGCTATTGAACGGCTGCTGGGTGGAAATAGCAACAGGAAATCCGTCGACATTAAGTTGTTGCCGTTATCGCCATTGATCCGTTGTATTTTTGGGGTTGGGGGGAGCGGAAGGGTGAATTATGTTAGGCGCAGTAGGAGTGTGGCCGACATCGGCTGAGTACGGCGGCAGGCCAATGTAACATTTTGCTTTGTTCTATTTTGTCAGACTAGAAGGGACGTAGTTTACTAATTCTACCGGTTTAGTGGGGTTCGTTTTGGAATGTACAGCTTTCTCAGGATTCTGATCCAGAAGTCATGGTCGACTCCCATTTGATGTAACGTAGTGAGACTGAACAACTTTCTAGCGATTTACTGATGCTATATACAGTAGCACTTGGGGTTAAAATCAGTATTTGAAAAAAAAATCGCCATCTATATGTGAATGTTAGTTTGAAACTCTTCAAAAAATGGTATTATCGACTGTTATCTTATAAGATTTGACCCATTTCACCTGAAGGTGACTTCGCTGGTATCTGCCACTAGGATTCACCGACTTCTTCTAAAAAATACCTGCTACGACATCACGTAGATTAATGTCCTTGTTCCTGCTTCTTGTGGGACGGTAACGACAGATTCTCGCTCAACATGGTTACTAGGTCTGATCAGTCTGAACATATGCTGAGGTTGTTGGGCTTCATTTCTACATGATCCCATTGAGGACGATAAGCTCGACTTAATCCTTCCCCATCGACCTTTACCGACAGCTATCGTATTCAGCAGCTCAGAGAGCTCTCTTCCTGGTGACAAATCGAGTGACACGTTGACGTTATATTGCTCCTCATACGGTCATCATCAGCATCGCAGTCGACATCATCGATTAGTTCAGTTATCGCTTTCCAGACCCACGCGAGGCAATCACCTAATGGCTGAGTTACCACCAGCTACCACCTACCTCGTGCGCGCGTGCTAGCAAGACCGCGTACATCTGTATTGTACTATGAAGTAATGTTGCATTATAAGATCTCGTCAGCAAGCACGGGCCACGCTCTTGCCATGTGGTTTCTTCTACTGCTGCTACATTTTTTCTCTATTTGACGCGGAAAATGTCGGGAGGATGCGGAATTGCAGTAACAGGAACATCTGCACGGTGATGTCTGCCAACAGGTAAGGTCCGCACTCATCGTTGTCATTTTGGCGACGTTTGAGCTTCAGCCTATCTAGGAATATCTATTTCATGATATCTTATAGGCTATGAGTTTGTAGTGTTCTACTAAATTCCGTGCTTAGATCGGCTTAACTGCCTCGACGGGTCTGTCGCTGATCTTCGATCTGTAGAAATCGATTGAAGTCGGAAGTTTTACTATAAACTAGCATACTATGGTCGATCGCGTTGGCTATCAGATGAGCAGGGGCGACCAAAATCGTCGCGTTTACGGACAACTTCAATGGCCGGCTCATCCTGAACTATCGGCGCGGCCGTATTTAGCTGATGTTGCGCACGCAGCTGTTGTTGATTCTGCCGCGGATATTGCGATGGAGGCAAATATCGTCGCCGCTGCACTCTGGTATCAGTTCAAGAAGAGCCTCACCAGACTGTGTTATAGTATGGAGGACGGTGAGAGAAGGGGCAGAATAAAAAAAGGGGGGATCATTGGGTTTGGTCGACTTCGGCATGAATCAGTCGTCGTTCGCTACGCAGGCTACTATCGCTTCTGCTCTAATGGTAGTTGATAGCATCGTACGGCCGACTCAAAGTTAAACAGCAGCGATGCGATAACAACAACACTAGTTCAATCTGATTTCGGCTCGCACAATTCCTGAAGTTTGGCTTTATGGATATCGCTTTTTACGTTACCACCGTGCAACGTGATGACCACTACACGTAATCTAGTCGCGCCGCTAGTAACTGGTAGAAGTTTTTGTCTCGTTGTTGTTGGTAACAGGGATGATTTGTGCTCGCACCTGCTATAGAGCTAGCTGGTGTGCATTGAAGAAAACAATGCAAGCCTCACTGGTTCAGATCCTAATTGCTGCTAGGGCAAAACGCCTTTTAGAGAATACGGTCTGTGTAGATGGGAGATTTGGGTCTGGTAAAATGACCCAACCAATGGATGCAAGCAAGACGGAAACATATGCTGCCAAGATATTGGAGACTGTAATCAGAAGAAAAGACACTATCCACCAAATGTATGGGTACTGTTAAACTGAACTAGTATTTTAGTGTATGCCATCGGAATTCTAAATTTGGCTTGAATGAATGACACGATTGCGTTCCAAATTTTTTGTATTTTCAATACATCTTATAGCATAAATTGTTTTTATAATAACTGTTTAAAGAAATAATGTATGTTTAATGAAAGTCCATTTATCCTGAGAGGGTCAGCATTGCAAAATAGACTAATTGTGTATTTTCTGTAGAAAATCTCTAACGTATCGTTAATATGTCGTCTCTTTTGGCGGCCCGTGGCAAGGTTGACCGCCTATAACAAATCTAACGTACATTAATCAGCAATGCGCTCCGGATTGTGGGTGAAGACATTCACAACAGCAATATGAACTGCATTTATTTTTCTTAAGGGGATTTTTATTGTACATTCGCGGTTTATTGCTTTTACAGAACAAAAGCCATACGTGGCACTCGTTGTCAACGTACGCGCGATGCGAAATGATCGTTGTCTTCTGGCTGTCAATTTTTCTAAGGCATTTGTATCAGTCCTAATTTTGATCGCGGACCTGATTAAACGATTCCTCCATCGTTATGAATGTTAGGTTAGCAAAGTTCTTACAACGAATATAACTAGCTTTCTATTACATCAACACTTATATGCTATTTTACATGCGGATGTATAGTATTTCATGCTATTTTTCTTTATTAGCTTTTAATTTAGTTTCGGGTTTAAGTTAGGCCCAGAAATTAGGATTTCCTATCGAGGTGGCTTAAGCAGATGAGTCCGGTCATGCCGCTAAAGATCTGTCAAATATAAATTTGAGTCATGGGCATTTTATTTAAAACAAATACACAACTCAGATCTATAATTTTCAGCCAGTGTTACTAAGATGAATGTCTCAAGCTCTAAATCGGCTCCATACAATCAAGTCGTCTACACTAGATTTTGTCGCTTTAGCTTTTAGAGATCGATACAGAGCATGCAACATAAATATGCTTTTGAATGTTAAACCTGACCCATTTTGAAAAACAAATTTCAAATCTCTCTAAAATTCTATAACCATTTATGCCATGGAGCAGGCATAAAAATTTGGCATTATCTTGCCATTTCTTTATTGAATCGGCCTCGTCTTTACTATCCGTTATAATCAACCAACACAACGATCTTGCTAGTCGTAGTCACTGGCTTGGCTATATAGATTTCTTTTGAACTGTTTTCCAATCACGCTCCTCTACGGCAGCTCTTGCGACTGGTCTTCCAGGCGATCCGGGAGACTTTAAGGAGTCATGTCATCAGATCGTGTTTTGAAGTTTTAATGTTCTCAATCCGACGCCTGCTTCAGCTTCTGCCAAAGATTTACGAAAAGTGCAATACAGTATCAATACGATTCGTAATATCTTCTTGACAGAGCTTGATTTGGGTCGCAGTCAAACGTACACAAGCTCTAATAATAGAAAATCCTTTCGCCATTATTTGCATTATATATTATTTATCGTTAACGACCATCTCTTTTACGGATAAAGCAATTCGTACCTTTTAAGTAGCGTTTATTGAGCTTTCCTCCGTTCTTCTTATACTAATACCGGCTTTTTTTTTCTTTTTATATAGTTAGTATCCCGTTACTCAGCTGAATATATGTTCTCTTTCTCCTTATTGGGCGGTGTCTTTTATTGCATCATTGGCTGATTCTCTCATCATGCCCACCATCGTCGATGAAGTGCTATAGCTTCTTGTTAAAGTCGCCGCCGCCATCGCCAGCTTCATCCTTTACAAAATTAAACACTGCATCACGATCGTCGCCCTGACCACGAACCGAGTGACGTCAAAACAAGCAGCAGCATCAGCAAAGGTCCCTATGTCCCATAATAGCACCATCTCAAGTAGCGACATCCAGTTCCCACGCCTGCCGGTTCGAATCTGCATCTCGTCAATGATTCGCACACCGCCATCGCTGGCCCTGTGAACATGACGAAAGTACTTGAGCGCTATCGTGGACGCAAACCACTAAAAGTAAAATTGACGCCGGAAGAAAGTGACAGCCACGGTCCCTATCTTCACCAGCAAAAGCTTCTGCGTTGAAGATGTTGGAAAAGGTAAAAGAGAAGATAAAGAAAAAGGCGAAAGTGACGGTACCGGAGAAGATCGTATTAATCAAGACGAGGGGCCACGGCAGCCGGACACGATACAACGATCTGACACTATACGTTTAAATGTTCGGCCACAAAATGATACCTCAGCGGTTAGCAGTTGCTGGGATGGTGTCAATTTTGACAGAACACTTTAGGCGTGTCTGTACACTAACACTATTAGTAGCTAGAAAAGAAACGATGGTACTAGAGGGGCAGAAATACAAGAGTGATCGTGAGTCTTGAAGTCTTAGAGTCGACAGCTCGGTCGTCCGCAAGACACAAAAAAAGAATTTGAATTTTATGTATATCGTCTCACTTGCAACGTTCGGGCTATGCTAAGGAATCTACCTAGTTTGCAGTAGAAACGGGCTCTGAGCGTCGTGAGTAATGAATGCCATATGCTGATATTATCAAGACAAATAGAAGCTTCTATAGCGATTTAATTTTTCTAAGATTTCTCATCGATTCATGTGAGATATGTAAGAGGAACCGACAGTAGATGCAATTTGTTGTGTGCTGCATGTCAGCTGATAGGATGTTTCGCCTTATGGCGGAGTTTTAGTAGTCGGTGATCGTTGTTGTTGCGGCAGCATTGTTCCCATGATGATGCAGTTGGTACCTATTCACGTTAGAGACATTCGAGGTGGTCGGAGTTTCGTTGTTGGGAAAAGCGAGCCTAAACAAGTAGCAACGGATGTAGGAGTTAGCAACACTGGCAACCATATTGAAGTGTCACAGCTGTAGTTAGAAGGAGTGAAATGTTGCGCTGAGGCGACGTTTGTATTTGCTTATTTCATATGGATGACGACGACGCTCGTGGACTATAAAACGCCTTAGAGAGTTTCTACGAAACGCTTTATTCTCCATTTTGGGCAAGGACACGAGGGGTACAACGTTTTGCAGCTGGCTGTGAGTTAGGCGTGAATACGGCACTATATTAAACAGATGTTTCGAATGAGTGAAATGGATCATAGACCGTATTGGGAACCGAGAAAAACAGAAAGATTAAACTTGTATTTAATAAATACATTTGTCCTATCACCGACATTTGAAAATCCGTCTTGAAGCCATATCAAAGGCCGCTGCAAAAAGTTCAAAACCAATTCGCATGTCAGTCTATTTGGTATACCCAACACTAATCCAATATGCTTTGAATCAATGCAGTCACATCAAGAGATGTCCAATAAGAATTGTTGCTCATCTCATTGCTGAAAAACTGTCACTAAAATGAGAAAAACCTTGCCTTGAGAAAAAACTGCAGCGAAGTCAGTTGTAAAGGCTTGATTTACTTCGAAATAATACTTCAATTCGACGGAAACATTGTTACATAAATACTTCATAAGGTGTACGCGCGTAAAATAAAAAGACAATAGATAAATAAAGGGAATAAAATTAAAAAAAAGAATTTGTAAAAGAAACGTGTTTGAAATAATTTCAGAAATAATCTAGATGTTGTATTACCTCCATGTTACACTTCCATCTTCCATACAGTCCGCGTAAAACATACGGGGTTTGAATGGCTCAACTGAATAATTTGCGATTCATTAAGTTATTATTACTTAGCTTATTATACTTAATTCATAAAAATTTAAGGTTCAACAAAAGTTAACAGGAACAACTGTCTCTTCTGGCCACTCTCAAAGCAAGCAGACTACATTGTGAAAACAGTGAAGTATGTGTGCACTTACTTGCTCGTTCAGCCACAGTGTACATATACTCAATATTTCATTGTAAAACTTTTAATATCTAGAACGGGTTCTATGTTCGGCATTTGCAAAAAGCGATTCTCACATGAAAACCTGCGGTAGAATACCGTTGCATGGGGGTAACATTCATAGACAGAAAAACTTAAAAATATACTAGAGAAATTATGACGAAAGACTACGTAAATCACACAAGGTAATGGAAATGCTGTGAGAGGTCTATTAATAGTTCTCGTCGTTAACCGTTGTCAACTATACATCAGATACGTTAAAGAAGCCTTGTTCCTTGATACGCTTTGACCGACCCTACTACCTAGTAGAATTTTTAAGAGATGGCCACATTGCTCGACGGTTTCCCTTCTTGATTCATATGGAAAAGGGTTTCATAGCAATTTACAGGTTATATTTCGTATTCGTTGTCACCAATTCCACTACTTCAATGGAGCCTGACCGTACCACATTTACCTCTCCGTAGATAGTTGCTGTCCCTTGAGCCCTGTTCACAGAGATTGGACAGTTAGTATGTCTTTTATGAAATACTGAGTAATTATCTTTTGCAAACGCTCGAAATTTGCAAGAAAAACACGGGAAAGCAAAGTTGATTTAGCGAAGTTCGTCAAATGAATCGATACGTTAATAGGAACGGACTACTCTCCTATTACACTTTGAATCTTTCCCTCCACATCCACGACAAGGCTTGACTGGAGTACGTAAACGGTAGGACCGACCTATGACCCGGACGTTCGATTTGGTGGACTATACTTCGAATCAGTGTAGGAAGGAACCTTCTGGTGAAAGTATATCCTGTCGCATAGTCTATACAACGCAATGGCCATCGGTTTCCTCATGAGAAGCAGTTAACCATGTATTCTGCCCCTTCGATACATACACATAGTATAGATTTGCTCGTTGATATTGTCTAATCAGATCTGGCTGTCACGAATGATAGAAACTTAGGCAACCAGAATCGACCAAATATAACGGTAACTTGATGATACAATAGCAAAGTCGATACTTATTGTAGGAGACTAAAACGCTTTGAGAGGGGCCGACGCTTGATATTACGCTATGAACAATTTAATTGATCGATGTCGTTAGATAAAGTGGTTATGCAAAGCTAATAAAACAGTTGTTGCCATTACAAATGTTGTTGTTGTTGGTTATGTAGCCGAGTCCATTGAGTCAAAGATCTAGACATGGATGACCCCTTGCCTTGATACCTTCACAATTTTGAAGGGAACTGCAATGCTACTGATGGTGCTTATCCTCGTCATTATGCCGATAACGCTAAAGGCGATGAAGGTGATAGTGGGCCAGGAGTGCCTGATGTAGTAGTCAGTGAGAGTTTGTCAGTGCTCGGCCACTGTATCTCTCTCTTTCCCTCTTGTTGCAAACGGCCCCGGCTTCGCCCGAGTGCAACGCTTCGCCCTGGGCCGCAATTGGCTCCAGCATTACCCGCGGTAGCAATCCCAACAACAGCGACAGTGACGGCGAATGGACGTCAGACACATTTCTCCATTAGAATCACATTGAACGCTGCTGCTGCTGCTGCTGCTGCTGCTGCTGCTGGGTTTAACCATCATACATACACAGATAGAACGTACAGGCAATGCTTTGCAGATCGTGCTTTGCGATAAGCGTGAGCGCGAACTAATTCATTGGAAGCATGTGACTGCATGTGTGTCTGTATGTTAGTCGTGCTTCCTAATTCAAGCATTTAGCTCCAACGACAACAACAGGAAGGAGCAGTGGTTGCCGCTGTCTTAAGAAGAATAGCACCCACAGTAGCGGCTAGGAATGTCAGCATTGAGCGCCTATGACAAGGCCGAACAGTTCTCTTGTTATTTCCCGAATACCACTACCATCATGTTCGACGTCGCCAAAGGTCGCCTTTATAATTGTTACGTCGATGAACAGAGAAGTCCGAATGACCGTTGCGATTTAGGCGGGAAAAGTGCAACGCTAGTGAGGATGAGGTGCAGTTAAATCTTAGACAAAATAAACGAAGCCAACATACACCGAAAACCAGCCAACGAGTTAAACTGTCATGGAAACAATAGCCAAAGCCAGTAACAACAAAAGAGCTAAAAACAACAATGACAAGACGAAGGAACAGGGGCGCTGACTCCAGCTGCTGGTACTGCTACTGCTGCTGCTGCTGCTGCAGGATCTCGCTACTGCCCCCTCCCTACACAGTAACTTACTTGCCTCCCCACAGTGCGTCGACGATGGTTTCTTTGATCGCCTCACCGACGATTCAGGGTCTCTCACTTTTTCCTTTTTTCGTTTTTTATTCGTTCTTTTAGTCTGAGCCAATGAACCAGCTGACTAAGCGTATAAACGGCCAGTCGCCGATCGCGCTTCGGAGCATTATTACATATATATGTGATCATCGTGGCAGCGTCTATCGCCATTGGTGAGGCGCCGTAGCGTCCAGAACGCGGTCTCTGCAACAACAGCGGTAACGGTAGCAAACGTTTCAGCGACAACGAGACGACGCCGTTACAAACGATAAACGCTACACGAAAAGGTGATTCTGCTGCTGCTGCTAGTGTCTGACTAAAACAGTAAACGACAAGCCGTATGCGGGACACGGGGGTTGACGATAAGAACGGGGTCGGGGGTGTCTTGCCAACCCAAAAGACTCTGGTTGTCTATAGTAGCTGAGCGTCAGTGGAAGCGATAATGTTTTCCAACCTCCCGACACCAGTTAGCTAGTCATAACAAAGCTAAACTCGTCGATTTGTTGGTATTAGTTTTCCTTGTTTTACTTTTCATCTACGCTATATTGTGATATCGAGGTCAAATTTCGGGAACCGGTTGTGACTAGAGCATATCATTGGTCTCCAGTCATACTACGGGTAAAGCAACCGGGGACATACGCTTAAGTGTTAGTAAAGTGAACCAGTTTCCATTGTAGTCCTACTATATGTTGTTAAAGCTGGAATTACGTAAGATTACATTGTTGCGCATGGATTATAATTATAATACATAAAGATGCCATCCCATCGCTGCCCCTGGTGAGTTTGAGACAATGAAAATATCAATAAAAATTGGTTAATAACATGATAACTTCATACGACGTGAAGTAAACGACAAGTTTGAATACTTAGCTCTCTCTTAAACTGATCGTTACTCTAACTCTTTATCAATAGTATCATATATAGCGGGCCATCTCCTCTACACCTAATATCGATAACGCTCTTGCGTCTACCTATAGGTCACCTATAAAATTATCTGTTTACATAGAAGCCCATATCATCATACGTTATTTACCTCATGTCCAACAGAAACAACGTACAGCAGCAGCTTTTACCGACGGCGTTCACTTGTCTGCTACGTGACAGCCGCTTTTCTGATTCTGCACGACTGCAAATGATACAACGACACGCGTACAATAGAGTGTGACATATATTCCCTGTCATTTCTTGTCACACATCAGCTGTTGGCGCTATTTCGATTTGTGGACCCGCCGCTCAACGTTGGGGAGTTTGCGAACGTAGATCAAATCTACCATCACTTCAGTCCTTCAAATTGGGGTGTCCAACAACTAACAGCTTCTCTCAATCTACCTTCAAATCTTCCTTTTCGATTTTCCTTAATATAGCTTATTGGCTATGTCATTGCTATAACTATGTATTCGTTGTGGCCGTCGTCTTCTTTTATCCTATGGCGTCATAGATGAAACGACTGTTATGTTTCAATTTTTTGCGCAATCAACGATTACGGCAGTTGCGACATGCACTGGTTTGCGGCGTCGTCAACACGTTAACATGGCAGAACGTTCTGATTTAGGAAATGCGATTGGTTATTGAAGTACTTTACCACTATTCGGCTCAGCTTTTTGATCTTTTTATGTTGCGGCTAGCTACGCGTTGATGTACGTTTTTCGCTTATGCAAAAGCCAGGACCCGTCGGAAGTTGAGAGTAAATCTTGCGCAAGCTAGTGCCCGTATACTACTGTATGTATGCGCGGTCCTAATGCTCTAGACGATCCTATGAAGCAACTAAACCGATTCTTTCCAACAGAAGCCCAGGGACGACAAAAACACGCACGCAGACGGCTTTCCGGTCGGTCTGCTTCGATGACACATTTGACAGTTCAACGGGAAAACACAACAAACGACTGAGTGGAAACGACGAATGCGGAGCTATCATGTCTGGATATAGAGACATACGGAGAGGTCCATGGACGGCGCGTGGTGATGCGTGATTGCAACGACGGTAAGTACGTGAATCCGTACACAAGCCACATGACGCCGGCCGTAACGTGGAGCCGTGGTATTGTCTATATTAACAAGGCAAAAGTATACGGTTTTCGACATACTCTTTCTACGATATTGTCCTCTACTAGCTGTTCGAAGACATATGTCGCATTTCGTTTGACTGACAATTGCAGGGGCACGTAACCAGGGGCAAACAGATGATGACATATCGAGTTTCGATTCGAGAGTTCTGTAATTAAAAATGCAGTAAAGTGAGATAGAAGCGATGTCTGGAGGAAGAGCGAAAAACATATGGGTTCTGTCGTACACGTTATACCGTAGCTGTGAAATAGGCGTTTCCTTATTGAGCGTTTATGGACATGTACGATGTTATATAGATATGAGGTCTGTTACTAGGCTGTCAAGCAGAGGTTAGACGGGCTAGGTCTGCATATCTATATACAGGATTTTTCTTACGCTTTCTTTCTAAAATCTAAATAAAAATAAATACATCAACGAAATTTTTTCTATGTCCTAAACGCATCATTTTTGGCGGCCATGCTTGGTCAATATAAGCACCACCTACTGCGATTGCAGCTTCTATATTTAAACCACTAACTGCTCATTCACTAAATATTCCTTTTTAATCCGTAAGTAATTGTTTTATTACTAATCACGCGTCAAGCGATATTGGTAAGCGACAGTTTATTAGAGTGTCACTCAAGTACGCTCTATATAAAAAATTGCAAAGATTTAAAATCTCTGACTGGCAGCAGGCCAAAAGTCTCAAACGTAAAGGAGCTTCAAACGCAAAAACTTCAAGAGGTACAGAGGGGGGGGGGGTGTGATAGTATCAAAAAGACTAACAATTTGAGCTTGAGTTCTATATCGAAAATCTAACTACATGAAAAACCGATTTTAGGGTCATTTTAGTGAATTTTCCAGCCTGTTAAACCTAAACTCTGTTGAGGATCTTCCGATTAGCTCCATGAAAGTCTTGCTCGGGTTTTTCAGAAGCCGTATTAAAACTCGCGATAATGTGGACCTTCGAGCACCACGATGGAAGTTCGTTTAACGCCAAAGTTCCAAAGATGGCGCATTATCAACGGAACGCTGCAACAAAACACCTCCCCTGATAATCTGAAGTCTAGAATAACACTCTTTCACCATACGCACCTTAATATTTAAGTTTATAGTGTCACGTATATATATATATATATATATATATATATAGGTGAAAATAAATTTATTACACAAACACATTCACACAATTAAGCCGTTACCGTACCTATGCTACACATTGACCAAGTATCGAAAGGGTAACAGAAACATAATTTAGTTATAACAACACCAGCGAACCAAATCAGACCAAGCCTAAGCTGAAATGGAACAAAAACTTCGCGCTCGAGGGTAGACAGACAGATAGGCGTGTATGGGCGGTAACGCAGCACCGGTGAAGATCTTAGCGGCGGCTTTAAAGACGCTGCCGCCGGCGATTTCGGCCGTATCGGATAGGTGGGCAATGGAACATGTGGCTATGCTGCTGCTGTAGTTTTGCCGTTATTTTCCGTTGCGTGTCTATTGAGATTTTTGCTTTCTGATTGCACTATATTTCGCAATCCTGATAAAGTACCCCCAGGTAGCCCTACCCTCTCGTGTTGTTATTGTTACTAGCCCCACTATTGCTAATGGTGATAGCAAGGCATACCACCGCCCCCGACTTGTCCGTAAAGCACAGCAACGGCAGAAAAATTTGCTACGCCTACTGCAGGGTCACCAGAGCTTTGGTTACAGAAAAACATAAAGACTAAGCAAGGAAACGCTAAAGATCGCTATAGACGTATTGAATTCGCACAGTAAACTTAAAGGAAACATTTTAAGCCAAATTATAGATGTAGTGAATTTTTTTTTAAACCGAATAGTTATGCTTTAAGTGGAAACACGGCTACTTCTGTCTATCGGCATGGACGCACGAAGGGTGCACAAAATAAATTCCAAAGCAAGTGTACAATAATTAGCCATGAACCGGTCATTATACAAATTGATTTCCAAATGAGAAAAGATAGCTCGTACATTTAGAGGTCCGTGCAGGTGTTTCAAAAGCCTGTCTGAGTAGGTAACTCAATACAATCAAAGGGCCGATTAAAAACAGCGATTACTATTTTCTATCCCTCGCTCGTATTTTCGTCAGAGAAGTGCGTGCGTCCGCGTTCAAACTGGAACCGTCTCACACCCCTGGTTCGTGCACAGCCACATTGCCATTGCACGATCGCTAAGACCTTTGCTTCTATCACATGTAGTAATTCACCACATGCGCATGTAAGCATGAATGGCGACAATAAAACTGGTGAAATTTATGTCGTGCATTTTTCGATTGTCGTGCCTGACCATTTGGATATTTCGGTTCGATCTAAAACAAGTTCATTATTTAATGGGCGCGACCGTTAAGGTCGCACCCATCGAAACCTTTCGAAATCTAGTTACATCGTAGTAATTAGCTAACTACCTATAACACGAGTGACTTTTTTTTTTATATATGTATAGACATAGTAAAAGATGTAGGACGACATCTTGTCACGAGCGAAATGTTGGCGGCAAGGTAGCTATCTTCGATAAGATAATTCGCACCCGTGTTTCTCTACATTCATTGCTGGTCCGGAAACGTGTAATGGAGTATTGTTTGCAAGAAGCCTTTTTCTATTAGTATTTCTTTTATATCTTCCTTGTAGAAGATTCGTTCACGAAGACCGAAACCCAGCTAAAAAGAAATAGGTCTGGCAAGATGACGGAACAAACATTAACAGACTGCTTCTGATTTCAGTCGATGGCGTCAACAAAAAAGTATTACCTGAGTCACTATTCAAACCGAATTCTTGAACAGATTCCAGCAGATGACTTAACTAAATACATTAATGGTAAAGACGTATTTTCGGGAGTTCTGAAGTACGAAAAACAAAGACATTTACATTTACCAGCGCTAGACACAAAGGTCTTACCGAGGTTAGTAGAGGTATATTTCAATACCGCACATTTTGACATCTGGGATACTCAAACCTAAAATCATTGCACTTTTATGGTACAAACATAAATTGTCTACTTTTAGTTAGCCGAGTCCTATTTTGAGTAAGCAAATTTTTTCGAATAGAATGATTTTTTCGAATCTCTGATATCGTCATCAACCAATATGGATTAACGCTCAAAAATGGAACCTTGACCCTTTAGACCGAAAATGTTTTCATCAAACGACTAGTAGCATATAGCAGGCGCAGTGTACAAGGCTGATACACCTACACAGACACACGAGATTGTATCTAAAATGGCTGGACAGTTTACAGGCAGGCTATGCCACACGCTCATTATTGATACGCTTGGCATCCATTAATTCATACATTATAATTAAGGCATCCATAAATAATAATAATTGAAAAATAAGACTACCATGTCAAGGACGTATTGTTTCGCTTGATAGTACATCGTAACTATCCGGGCTGTGGCATGTCGATGATCACATGATTTTTCAGCGTCAGACCGAAAACAAGCCTTAGTAGATCAGGATGAGGATGTGGAAGCAATAGGGCTAAGTTTTATTATGTGCTACCGTTGACATGCTCGTTGATTTATATGTTCAATGATTATTGAGTTTCGTGATTCACTTTGAAATGGAACGAACTCCGGCGTCGCACTGAACAAACGACTGCTAAAGCTGCGGGAATCTAGAGAAAATGTCCTGCTGTCTTCCGGCAAAACCAACTGTGAGTTATAACTAGCGACATAGCCAATGAGCGTAGGCCATTTCGGCATAACAGCTAAATTCACTGCCACCAAATTACAGAAATTTAAGCGGATCGAATCGTTGATAGACAACAACCTGTGCCTGTGCCTGCGTGCCTGTGCCAATGTACCGACCTGACGTGAGCTTAGAAGAGACATTTAGATCAGTGCCGTATAGCATAATACTTTCCAAAAAGCGCCCGGTATCCAATCTGCTACTTTAAAAAGATTAGCTTACATCAAACTGTTAGTTCTACAACAAAAGTCATTACCATTCAAACGTATCACGTAGCACATGAAGAGGCGGCTTATGGTAAAAGTTGACCCACATAGTTCGAGCCGAACCTATTTCAGTTAAAAGCCAATGCCTTCGTTCGGCTCGAAACTGATTTGTTTCTGTTTGACGGGCTTACATCCTACCCAACTTTAAATTTCCTTTCGTTTGGCATACATTATCTTCAATAAAACCATTTTAAAGAATATAACTTTCATGTAAATAACAAGTACGGCCACTGGTGGCGGATGGCTCTCGATCACGGCTTGGACCACGTGCTTGTTGCAGCACGGTTGATGCTGATATTTTCGTCATTGGCAGACAGGGAGGTTGAACTGCCCACGTGACTAGCCTTATTTTGATTCTCTGCTGCGAGTATCATCTGTACCCTCGGGCGTACATCGCTCCTATATAGATTTCAAACGAAATTCGCTACGACCCTGCGGATACGCCAGGAAACACTATAGAAACTGCTCGGTTATTGCTCAGCTATTGTTCCTGTGGTGCTCTAATTTTGTATCTTTGATAGAACATCAACTGTATGATACTATTATGGCATTGCACATTGGCAATCTAAAACTGTGACGGCCTACTAAACGTATTTTTCTTGTATAAATTCAATTGAATCTATATTTCACGCATACAAGACAGCCGTGGATACGGCGTTATTACGTCACTACTATTGCAACCGTTCTGTAAACTGAGTTAATGGTTATTTCATAGATGTGTTTATTGTTATCGCAGTGTATTTGGTACGTGGTTATAAATTGTCCGCGTGGTCACGTATCTGAATTGACAAGCTTTCGTATACGACGTGATCTTTTTTTTGGCGCTATGCTTTGTCGGCGGCACCCTGCCCAGGCGCAGAACGAGTAGAACTACTAAAATCTCCTTTGGAATCTACAAATGGTCAGTTTTAATACCCCATTATTTTATACTTTCGGTTGGTACGGATTAATACAGAAACCACCTACTATAGTACTACCGCATATGTTAAAATATGTGG